CTGCGGAAGCCGCGGAGTATCGGGGGCCCGAAGCGACGGAAGCCTCGGAAGGTGCGGAAGTGACGCGAACCCCCACTTGTGTCTCTGGATCAGAGCACTGCAGCAGCAGCTGCAGCAACAGCAGCAACAGTGCCCCGCAGCTGCAGCAGCAGCCCCCCCCCGCCGCAGCAACAAGAGCCGCCCAGCGACCCCAAGAAGAACCCACGGGAAGACGCCGAGGCTCCCGTGCCCTCTCAGCAGCACCTGCAGGGCAGAGGAAAGGAGGCAGAGGTCACGATACCACCCCCCGCATCGTTGGCAGATGGTGACGTCCCAGAGGGGAATCGAGAGGCGGTAGCTTGCAGCGAGCAGTGTGCAGCTCACACTAACACCCCCCCTTCAGCAGTACCAGCAGGGCAGAGGAAAGGAGAGGGAGGTCACGGCAGAGTCGGCGGAGGCTGCGGGAGCCGCGGAGTATCGGGGGCCCGAAGCGGCGGAAGCCTCGCGAGGTGCGGAAGCGGCGCGAGCTTTCTCTCGTGTTTCTGGATTAGAACCGGGTGGGCAGGGGGTGGCCCCCGATAGTGCTGACGGCAGCCGCGACAGTCAGCCAAGCGAGATTTTGGGACAGCAGGGGCTCGCCTGCCACTCCGTGCCACCCCCGCCTCCCCCTCAGAACAATCAGACCGTCAGCAGTCCTCTGGGAGCGCCATGCACCCAGCAGGGAGACCACGGACCAACCATCCAGACGCAGGACAGCGAAGCCATCCACTGGCTCGTCGGGAGAAACCCCTTCGCGCCTATTCGCCCCCCTTCCCCTGTCAGTGAACTTCTTATGGGCGGCGAACCCCAGGCGCCCTCTCCAGGCGTCCAGGGCGCTGCTGGCAAAGCAGCTCGCGCCCCGGCTATGGACGCTGTGCCGCCGTGCGTGCACGCGCCTGGCACAACCAGCGGTGCCCCAGAGACCGGAGAGAGTCCTGCGCTGACCAAAGGGGACGCACCTGGGAGCGACGGCGGGCACGTGCCCGAAGGCGAACGCCAGCGAAAGGGGCCCTTCCCCACGTACCACAAGGCTGCGTCTGCCCTGGCCGCCGGATGCGATCCGACCCCCGCCTGGCGGCCAACGATGTGGCCTGCTTTCCCCCGCAGAACCCCGCCAGGCGTGCAGCCGGAGCTGTCGCGAGCAGATCGCGAGCCCTCCGGCCAGGTCGACGAGGCCGGTACGTTGGAGACTTGCGGCCAGGATGCACGGCGGCACTAAGGGCCCGACCCGCGCCAATGGCCAGGGCCCAAGGACCCCGACACGGGACAACAGCTGTACAAGACAGGAACCAACGACATCCAGTGGGACCTCCCCGGGGAGACACCCGGCGAGGCGATAAGACGACTCCAAGTCGCGCTGGGAACAATGTTCACTGGCACCTGGCACACCTTCGCCAAGCGGCAGTTTGTGCCCGGCAGCACGGGCGCGCTCGACCCGCTTCGGCACGACCCGCAAACCTGCCACCTCTTCTTGGAAACCTTCCGCAGCCACAAGTGCGACGTACGGGCCGTCAGTGACGCGCTGGGCCTCGGCGTCGACTGGACTCGGCTGTGGCAGCTACACCTGGGTCGAAGCGGCGGAGTGAGCAGTGATCACCACGCGGCGAAGGGCCACCTGAACAACCAGGCCCCCAAGAAACGCACAACTCAGTGGCGGGCCGTCCCCCCACAGTAGCCTTGCTGCCCCCCCTCTTGGCACCGCGCGCGGGGGGGACTGGTGCGTGGATGTTGGCCACTGGCAGCTGACCCATTGCTGCCCTGCAAGTTGTGGCCTGCGTTTGGGGTGCCTCCCTCTGGCCGGGGGCCTCCCGCGGGGGGTCAAGGCGCCCTCGCTTTCCCGTTTTGCAGCGTTGGGCCTTGCATCGCTTCCCCCCGTGCTCGCCGCGTCTTGGCCCTCGCCGGGCATTTGTCCGTGCTGCGTAGGGCCTTGCATCGCCTCCCCCCGTGCTCGCCGCGTCTTGGCCCTCACCGGGCACGGTTCGGGACTGCAGTGTGGTCGGGCTTGACAGTTGATGACGTCCCAGAGGGGAATCAGGAGGCGGTTGCGGGCGGGGGCCCTAGAGACGGCCATGTGGCAGCTAAGATCTAAGCTCGGCGCAGACCCCCCCGCGGACAGCAGGCCCCCCCCGCAGTCGGGTCAGAGCAGGGGCTGGCCCCAGCCGCGCCCACCATGGCGGGCTGCCCAGCAGTAGATGGCTTCAGCACCGAGGGAGGCGGGGTGAGAAAACAGCACCCCAGAGATGCAGACGATCAGCCCCACCAGATGCCAGGTGATGCAGGGGAGGCTGGCGGACCAGTCGTGAGCGAGAGGGGCGCGGGAACGGACGCTCCGGGGGGAGAAAGTCCCGACCTCCCCGCCCTCTTACCAACCCTGGATCCCATCTCGCTCCCAGTTCCGTCCCCGCCTCCCCCCTCTCCCCGCAGTGGGGCAGCCCGTGAGTGCGAAGCGCCAGCAGCAGGTGCCACCCAGCTCCTGGAGGCTGAGGACGATGCTCCTGGTGAAACCATGAGGCGGCCGTGGGCGGGAACTCTAGAGAGGGTCGCCGCGAGCCTAACCAGCTCACAGTAGCGGACGGCGCCGTCCACCCACCACGGGGACAGACGACCAGACCGCCCCCCCGCATTGGCGGGCCTCTCACCACAGAGGCCGCCAGATGACGAGGGAAGAGCTGTTGAGAGACGGCATTGCCGCCGACGGCTGCCCCCCTCTCCTCCTTTGTCTATGCAATCGTGACAGCGGCTTTTGGCTGCACCTCCATTCCTCCTTCTCCTCCTCTCGACCGAGATACGTGTACAGCGGCTTTTGGCTGCGCCCCCCCCATCGCGAGATGCCGACGGCTGCGGCTGCGCCAGCGGGGCAGCTGCAGTGGCAACAGTTGCCGCAGCAGCTGCAGCAGCAACAGCCTCCCCCACCTCCCCCTCACCAGTCGTGGCCTGCGTAAGGGGTGCCTCTCCCTGGCCCGGGGCCTCCCGTGGGGGGTCAAGGCGCCCTCGCCTCCCCGTTCCGCTGCTGAGGGCCTTGCATTGCCTCCCCCCGCGCTCGCCGCGTCTTGGCCGTCACCGGGCACTGGTTCGGGCCTGCAGTGTGGTCGTGGCACCGCTCGCGCGGGGGATTGGCGCGTGGAGGTTGGACACTGGCTGCCGGCCCATTGCTGGTCTGCAAGTCGTGGCCGCGTTTGGGGTGCCTCCCTCTGGCCCGGGGCCTCCCGCCGGGGGTCAAGGCACCCTCGCTTCCCCGTTTTGCTGCGTTGGGCCTTGCATCGCCTCCCCCCGTGCTCGCCGCGTCTTGGCCCTCACCGGGTTCGGGCTCGGGACTGCAATGTGGTCGGTCTTGACAGTTGATGACGTCCCAGAGGGGAATCAGGAGGCGGTTGTGGGTGGGAACCCTAGAGAGGGCCATGTGGCGTCTAAGATCCTAGCTCGGCGCAGACCCCCCGCGGACAGCAGGCCCCCCCCGCAGTCGGGGCAGAGCAGGGACGGGCCCCAGCCGCTCCCACCACGGCGAGCTGCCCAGCAGTAGATGGCGTCAGCACCGAGGGAGACGGGGTGAGAAGACTGGCCCCCAGAGATGCAGACGGTCAGCCCCACCAGATGCCAGGTGATGCAGGGGAGGCTGGCGGACCAGTCGTGAGCGAAACACGGAGGCCACGCTAGCCGTGTTCTGTCCACCCTTCACGGGGACAGGCGCGTTCGTCACGCAGTGGCGCGCCACCCCCCCGCCAAGACGCTCCCGTCCCTGGAATGACGTTGTCACTGGCGGCAGTGCGGCCGCCGGCCGCCCCCATCTTACTAATCTGTGTCCAGCGGCTTGTGGCTGCACCTCCTCCTTCCCCTCCTCCCCTCATTGGCGCTCGTATTCAGCGGCTTTTGGCTGCGCCCCCCCCTGCCCACCAGCGCCATCACATTGCGCAGGCCGCAGGAGCGCGTCTGCCCTGAGACCTGCCCCGGGACCAGCGGTCCCTCCTTCGTCGCCGACCCGGCCATGGTTCTACTACAAGGACGTCTCGGCCCGCCGTTAGCACGCCGCCAGCGAACGGTACGGCCCAGCAGCTCTGCAGCTGCCAGCTATCGGTTCGCGCTGGCGTCGGAGGTTTTCAGGCTTCTGCACGGGCAGCGGGACAGGTGTGGAGTGGGTGCGGCTGAACGCTCCCTCACCCATGGCGATTGGCTTCGTCGAAGTGAGCGGCCCCGCACTGAGTGGTTCAGCCTTCTGCGGTCCGAGTTCGTTTCGCTCTTCTCGGCGCAGCCACAGCCACCAGCTCCGCGGCAGTACAATTGCATCGTTGTGCCCCCGAACAGAACAGCGTGATTTCGGATACGATGTGAGCGCACAGGCCCACCAGCTGGAGGTTGAACAGCCACGTGATCGCACACCAGTGGTCTGCCTCCCACTGGCTCGGTGCCCGGACGCGGATCAGCCGCACCCCAGCTACAGCGAGCTTTGGTGAGTCGGGTCCCCCCTGCCGCACCATCGTCCGCACGTGAAGGTGCAGTGTGTCTGATTTAGTTGCCCTCGCTCGCACCCCAGCTACAGCGAGCTTTGGTGAGTCGGGTTGCCCTGCCGCACCATCGTCCGCACGTGAAGGTGCAGTGAGTTGGAGGTTCAGTTGCCTTCGCCCGCAATCACATCCTTTTTCTGAGGCCCGCTGGACGGCCAGGTTCAGTGTGCACACGCGTGGGCATCGTTTGGTCGAGTTGGCCGCTCGGATTCGCGTTCTGCCCGCGGCATGGCACAGTGTCTTGGTGTCCGTTCAGGCCTCGCTTACGGTGGCGGTTCGGCTGGAGTTTGGCGCCGCAAGGGCGACTTCTCCTCCCGCCCCCTCGAATTCAGTTCATTTTGTTCCGTGCGCGTGCACCTGCGTGCTTCCTCGCAGGAGCGAGTTTCGCCCGCCACTGCGGCGGCAATCTTCTCGTTAATTCGTAGGTACCGCGCCCCGGAATTACTTGTCCGCTCCCTGTCCGCCGCCTCGGAGCCGCCAACCAAAAAAAATATCCCCACCAGCCAGCTGCAGTCTGAGTGGGCTGGCCGGCTCGCGCCTGTCCTAGCTAATTCGCCTAGTTCGCGTCCCGGAGCTTGCTTTCGCCGCCTGACCTTCGTCTCGCGGCCGCGACCGAAACAAGTATCCCCACCAGCCCATCCACAATCGATGCGTAGGGGAGCTGACGGAAGAAGGGAAGCAGAGACGCTCATAGTGAAACCGAGCGGGCAAGAACGGTGAATTGGGAGATCTTTTGTGGCGAAGGTTGCATGTGTTGCTGCCGGTGCTCTTGCTCCTGCTGGTACTGCTTCTGCGTCGTCGTCGCCGTCGTCGTCACCGTCGTCGTCGTCGAGGGGGGTCTCCCTGGTGGTGCGGTCCCCCCCTCCCGCACGAACATTTCCACTCCCTAGCTCGGGGGGGCATCGTGGACCCCTTGCTGGAGGTGGCTCTGGGTGGTGCTAGTGTCGCTTCTCCTCCCATCGCGTCGTCGACGACGACGGCGGCGGCGGCGACGATAGCGGCGGCAGCGGCGGCGACGATGGCGGCGGCGGCGACAACGGCGGCAAGGAGGAGGAGGAGGGCGAGCAAAAATGCCAGAGGTCTCTTGAATGCCTTTCGGAGCCTCTTGGGATATCTCCTGGGGGCTTCTTTGAGGCATCTTGGGACGTCTGGGGGGTCTCTTGGCGGTCCTGGGGGGCTCTTGGGCGTCTTGAATGCGTCGGGGGGGGCCTCTTGGAGGCCTCTTGGAGGCCTCTTGGGGCCATCTTGGCGCCTGTTGGGGCCTCCTGGGCGCCTCTTGGGGCCATCTTGGAGGCGATCGATCAAAGAAGGGGGGTTCCTTAGTTAGCACCGCCCCTCGGGAGCCCCCCAAATAGCCTCCTGGACCCCTCTTGGGGCGCTCTTGGAGCGCTCTTGGGCGCTCTTGGGGCCGTCTTGGGGCCCTCTTGGGCCCCTCTTGGGGCTATCTTGGGCCCTTTTGGAGCCATCTTGGGCCTCGGAAGGCCATCGGAAGCGAAAAGGCGAGAAGGCAAACATCATTGGTTTTCCTTAGGTTTTTTAAAAAAATGATTTTAGCCTCTTGGAGGACTCCTTGGGGAGCTATTTAGCTTCTTGGAGCCGTCTTGGGGCGGTCTTGGGGCCTCTAGGAGCATCTTCAGAGCCATCTTGATGCATCTTGGCCCATCTTGAGCCATCTTGGAGGGCATCTTGGGCTTTCCGGGGCGCTGTTGGAGCCGTCTTGGGCCATCTTGGACGCTCCAACGCGTCGCCGCGCCCCCCGTCCAGGTCCAGGAGAGGGGTAGTAGGGGGAGGGGTAAACCCCTCCCCGAAGGGGAAGAAGGAGGGGTGGAAGAGGAAACTCTCTAAACCACCTACGCCCAGAGGGCAGGTGGGATTTTTGGGCTACCGATCTCCCTCCCTCGCTTCTGGCTTCTTGCTCGTCTGGGTGGGGGGGCCTCGCCACCACGGCCAGATCCTCCCTGGAGTCCTCTGGGCAGAGCGCGCCCTGGGAGAGGTTTGGGGAGCAGCGGTAACCGCGAGGGGTCTTCAGAGCTGCGCCCCCCCCCCCGCCTAAGCTCTCGGCGCGGAATAGAAACTCGTCCCTTCTCCTCCTTCCCCTCCCTCCTCCTCCTCCTCCTCCTCCTCCTCCTCCTTCTCCTCCTCCTCCTCCTCCTCCACCTCCTTCTCCTCCCTGTGTTAATCCTCCCTCCTCCTCCTCCTCCTCCTCCTCCTTCCTCTCCCTTCTCCCTCCTCCTCCATTGCTGCCCGGAGGTTTAAAGACCCTCTGGGGTGAATCATTTGTACTCCTGTCCCCCCAGAGGAGCTCATGGGAGACGACACGAGAGACCTGTCGCTCCTGATCAAGCACGCCCACGGGGCCCGCGTCGAGTCTTTCGAAGGTGGCGTTAAGTCGGGCGTGTCCCCCTCTACAGGGGGATTTTCGATTTAAGTTAAGATAATCGAGTCGAAACATATTCCAAAAGGATCACAAACATTGAAGAAATCGTCCCCCATTTTTTTTTGTTGGACTATTTTGGAATATTCCCCTTGTAGAGGGACAGGCCCGACTTCAAAAGGTGGCAGGAGGCTGCAGCACCATGGGGGCGGGGAGTGCGCCTGCGCGGCCCCGTTCTGGAGCGCCTCCCGTGCCGGAGGGGAGCACGGCGCGGCCCCGGTGGCAGGTGTGCCGACGCCTGCCAGGGGCCAGACGCCGTCGCCTGCGCCCCGGCCCGGGGAGGACGACGCGATCGCCCTGCTGCGCCAGGTCATCAGCACGCTCCAGGCCCCCGGGGGGCGCCAGCCGTACTCGGGGGTGGACAGACCTCCTACCCTGACACGTCGATTCAGGAATTGTCCGTTGTCGGTTCGCGAGAGGGCGTCGCGGCCGTCATTTTTGCGGGTCCAGGTCCGTCGGTTTCGGTCCCAGGTCGTTTTCACTAAGGGGAGGTCTACTAAAGGGAGGTTTGTCCACCGCCGAGGGGGGCGCCAGCCGTACAGCTGGCCGCGAGGGAGTCAGCAATAACCTCAGCTCTGCAGGGGTGCCCTTCTGTTCTTTTGCTTGTCTGGGCTCGCCACCCTCGGAGGCTCTTCTCCCTGGGCAGGCCCAAGGGCCCTTTTGTCCCTTGGGCCCTTGGGCCTGCAGCGAAGGGGCTCGTGCTCTTGACCCACGCTCCTGCCCGACGAGTGCTGCTCATCGAGTTTGTTTCCCGATTGCCGCCCGCAAGCTGGCAGTGAAGATCGTCGATGAGAATTTCACGCTCGGATATCGCCTCTGTGGTCGATGGCTCTGTGGTCGATGGGCGACTCACCTTCCGATGGAGCTTGCCCATCCCCCCCCGTCCTCCTCCTCCTCCTCCTCCTCCTCCTCCTCCCCTCCTCCTCCTCCTCCTCCTCCTCCTCCTCCTCCTCCTCCTCCTCCTCCCCCTCCTCCTCCTCCTTCTCCTCCTCCTCCTCCTCCTCCTCCTTCTCCAGCCCCCCGTCCACCCGTTCCGACAGCACGTGCCCAACCCCCCCCCCAGCAGATCCAGGGTGGGGGGGTGGCGATTATTGCCCCATCCAGAGCATGGCTCTGCTCCAGAGTCAGGATGTTCCACTCACTGGAGGTGGGCCCTGGAGGTCTGGACCACTTCCCTGGGGCTGGTTCTTCGTCCCGAGTCCTTTTTTCACGCTCCCGAGGCCTGGCGAGGCCCCCCGGAGGTCCAAAACTGTCCGAATCCCGCCGCTCCAACTCTTGACGAGCGTTGGATCTCCTGTCGGGGTGTTCCGCTCGCTGCCTCTCTTGGCCCGCGCTCCTGTGGCCGTGCTTCCGCCGTGCGTCGCGCCGGCACCCGGCCCTGGCCGTGCCAGCTTCCGGCCGGAGCGGCCGGCGCCCACTGGGGCCCCCTGGCCAGGCCAGGAGGGCGGCCAGCGTTCGGCATCGTTTATCCGATCCCCAGCCCCATCCTCATCCCCTTTGGAGACCCCCACCAAGTTGCCTCCCCCCCAGTTGGGGATACTGCGAAGCGAGAATTTATACATGACCACCGCCCGGAGGATCAGTTTGTCGGGTACCTCGGCAGGGGGTGGATGTGGACATTTTCGGGCCCCCGGGGGCCAAACTATATCCATATCCACCGCCCGCTGGGGCACCAGGACGTCGGTTCCCAGGCGGTGGATATGAATCAACTCCCGCCTCGCACCATCCTCGTCCCCTGCGAGACCCCCACCAAATTGCCCCCCAGTTGGGGATGCACCCCTCGAATCCCGAAGGGTACGGCCTGCATCCCCATCCAGGGGGGTAAATCCGCCAGTGGGGCCCAGGCCACGCCGCTGGGGATGGGGGCCAGATCAACGATGCTCAGGCTTTTGTCACCGCTCCAGGAGGCCCAGGGCTCGGCCCGGCCGGGGTATCGACGCAGGCGTGCCGTTTGCAGTTGTCGAGTATGTCGGGGGCGGCCCAGAGGGGGTGATGACTGGAGCAGGGTGGATCTCATGGCGTGGGCAACGACATTTCCTCAGATGTCATGGCGCCTCTTCTTATTTCGTTACGTCCCTGGCCGCCCCCTTGGGCCGCGCACATGCCGTTGGCCATGACTTGCGCCCCTCCCCCTCTTCGACGCTCCCCGCTTGGCCGACATCGAGCAGGGGATCGACTACAGAATTGATTTGCCCCCGAATTCGTATCCCCGCCCAGTGTACGAACATATCTTAGACTTTTCCGTAAATCTACGAACGTTCTACGCATCTTTCTTGGATTCGACGGGGAAACCAGTGTTGGGTACATCGAATATGTAGTCGATCCCCCACTCGAAGCTGGCGGCCTCGCACAGGCCGACAAGACGCGGCTGGACTCCATGCTGGAGGCGGTGCTGGAGGAGCGGGACGCGAGGGCGGTGCCAGAGCTCCGACGTCGTGATTTTGTCACATGGCGCGGGTTCCCTGAGGTCTGGACCCCTTCTCTGGCGCTGGCTCTTCCGTCCCGAGCCCCTTGTGGACGGCCCCAGGGCCCAGTCAGGGCCTCCAGAGGCCGAACACGACCAACCTTGAGATCCGACGCGGCGAAGCAAATGGCAGCATCGCGAAAACCACGACCGAAGCCCTAGACTAGACTTAAGTCGGGCCTGTCCCTACAGGGGAATGTTCAAAAATAGTGAAAGAATAGTATGTGGACGATTTTTTGAGCATATTTGGCAACTTTTGATTATTTTTGGGGTACTTCCCCACATCCAAAGTGGGGTTCTTGTTTTCTCTGCACACCCCGCGCAGGAGAGAGATCTCACCCCCCCTCCTCTCACTCACGTACTCTCTCACACACATCATCATCATCGTCATCACTCATTCACTCACTCATTCAATCATCATGCTCACTCACTCTTTCAATCATCATCATCACTCATTCACTCGCCCCTCGCCCATTCACACACTCATACCACTATCATCTTCATCATCATCATCATCATCATCATCATCATCATCATCATGATTCGACACTCATCATCATCATCATCATCATCATCATCATCATCATCATCATCATCATCATCATCATCATAATCATCATCACCATCATCGTCATTCGATCACTCATCATCATCATCATCATCATCATCATCGTCGTCGTCGTCGTTTCCATCATCATCAGCATCATCTTCATCATCATCGTCCAGCATCATCATCAGCATCAGCACATCCCCCTCATCATCACCCACTCACTCATCACTTCGTCATCGATCACTCCCTAGCTTGGATATGGAGGAAGCATCAAGCAGGAGCCTCGTCTGTGAGTGAATTGCGAGGAAGTCTCAGGCGGGAGCCCAATCCCTATGGGGCCCGCACTTCATGTTGGTAATCTGAGCGGGTCATCGGAAACTTGTATCTGTCGTCACTTTTGAGCTCCTGATGCCTGATGATGGAGGAAGTATCAGGCGGGGGCCTCGTCTGTGAGTGAATTGCAAGGAAGTCTCAGGCGGGAGCCCCCTCCCTATGGGTCCCGCACTTCATGTTGGTAATCCGAACGGGCCATCGGATTCTTGTAGCTGTCGTCACTTTTGGGCTCGTCAGGCGTGAATACGGAGGAAGTATCAGGCGGGGGCCTCGTCTGTGAGTGAACTGTGAGGAAGTCTTAGGCGGGAGCCCCCTCCCTATGGGGCCCGCAGATCATGTTGGTAATCCGAGCCGGTCATCGGATTCCTGTAGCCGTCGTCGCTTTTGGGCTCCTGATGCCTGAATATGGAGGAAGTATCAGGCGGGGGCCTCGTCTGTGAGTGAATTGTGAGGAAGTCTCAGGTGGGAGCCCCCTCCCTATGGGTCCCGCATTTCATGTTGGTAGTCCGGGCGGGTCATCGGATTTCTGTAACTGTCGTCACTTTTGGGCTGAATGCGGAGGAAGTATCAAGCGGGAACTTCGTTTGTGAGTGAATTGGGAGGAAGTCTTAGGCGGAAGCACCCTCCTTATGGGTCCTTCATTTCATGTAGGTAATCCGAGCGGGTCATCGGATTCCTGTAGCTGTCGTCACTTTTTGGGTTCCTCAGCTCCTGCGGCCTGAATACAGGGGAAGTATCAGGCGGGAACTTTGTCTGTGAGCGAAGTGCGGGTAGCCTATCTGAACTGGTCGTCGGCAAAGCTGCTGTTGTTTTGAGCCTGCATGCCCGGAAGGGTGACTGAGAAGTGCGGGTAGCCTCGTCTGAGCTTGTCGTCGGCAAAGTTGTTATTCCCCACATCCTAAGTGGGGTTCTTGTTTTCTCTGCACACCCTCCGCGCAGGATCTCTCCTCCTCCTCCTCCTCCTCCCTCTCCTCTCCTCCTCCTTGCTTGCTCCTCCTCCTCATCATCATCACCATCACCATCACTCCCCACTCATCATCATCACCATCAGCATCACCATCACCATCGCACGATCATTCATCATCATCAGCATCGCACATCACTACACGCTAATTCATCACTTCGTCATTATCATCATCATCATCACCACCAGTCACCATCAGCATCGCACGATCACTAATCATCATCACTCATTATCATCATCATCTTCATCACCATCATCATCACTCGATCACTCACTCACTGACTCACTCATCATTCTCATCATCACCCACTCATTCATCATTATCACTCACTCATCACTTCGTCGTCAGTCACTCGTCTGTGAGTGAATTGTGAGGAAGTCTCAGGCTGGAGCCCCTTCCCTATGGGTCCCGCACTTCATGTTGGCAATCCGAGCGGGTCATCGGCAACTTGTAACTGTCGTCACTTTTGGGCTCCTCAGGTTTGAATTTGGAGGAAATATCAAGCGGGAGCCTCGTCTGTGAGTGAATTGTGAGGAAGTCTTAGGCGGGAACCCCCTCCCTATGGGTCCCGCATTTCATGTTGGTAATCCGAACGGGTCATCGGAAACTTATAGCAGTCATCACTTTTGGGGTTCTCAGGCTTGAATTTGGAGGAAGTCTCAAGCGGGAGCTTCGTTTGTGAGTGAATTGTGAGGAAGGTCAGGCGGGAACCCCCTCTCTATGGGTCCCGCATTTCAGGTTGGTAATCCGAGTGGGTCATCGGCAAGCTGTATCTGTCGCCACTTTTGGGCTCCTCAGGTTTGAATTTGGAGGAAGTATCAAGCGGGAGCCTCGTCTGTGAGTGAATTGTGAGGAAGTCTAATGTGGGAACCCCCTCCCTATGGGTCCCGCGCTTCATGTTGGTAACCCGAGCGGGTCATCGGCAAGCTGTAGCTGTCGCCACTTTTGGGCTCCTCAGGCTTGAATTTGGAGGAAGTATCAAGCGGGCGCCTCGTCTGTGAGTGAATTGTGAGGAAGTCTCAGGCGGGACCCCCCCCCTATGGGTCCCGCATTTCATGTTGGTAATCCGGGCGGGTCATCGGCAACCTGTAGTTGTCGTCACTTTTTGGGCTCGCCAGATTTGAATTTGGAGGAAGTATTAAGCGGGAGCCTCGTCTGTGAGTGGATTGTGAGGAAGTCTCATGCGGGACCCCCTTCCCTATGGGTCCCGAATTTCATGTGGTATTCCGAGCGGGTCATCGGCAACCTGTAGTTGTCGTCACTTTTTGGGCTCACCAGATTTGAATTTGGAGGAAGTATTAAGCGGGAGCCTCGTCTGTGAGTGAATTGTGAGGACGTCTCAGGCGGGAGCCCCGTCCCTATGGGTCCCGTGTTTCATGTTGGTAATCCGAGCGGGTCATCGGCAACCTGTAATTACTCCGGGGTATGTGAGGGCAGAACGGCGGGCGAGAGGATAGCGTCCGTCAGGGCGAGGAAGAAAAGGGTAAGGGCAAGCTAAACAGATTATCGTGCGGGGTCCTTCCGTCGGAGTCATATGTATTTCTCGCCCAAATTCCCCCTGCATGGGGGACACGCCCGACTTAAGACTAGACCTGGGGCCCGCAGCTGGGCGAAACCGCCCAGTCTGAAACAGCTGCACCGCTGGGACCTCAGGGTCGTCGTGATCGCTTCGCGGCGAGAAGGAGGTCCGTGGGGCAGGAGCGGGACTCGCTGGCGAGGCAGAAGCGCAGACTCGAACAGGACAACGAGCACCTGCGCGCCGCGAGCCTGGAGAAGGACCGCCAGCTGGCGACGCTCGCCGCGCACGTGGGCGGCAGCTGACGGGGGCGACCTCCGCCCAGAGGGCGGATGGGGCGCCCCATGCCAGACCCAGGCCTCCTCTCTTCCCAGACCCTCTCGCGTCGTTTAGACAAGAACGGTGGAAGGTTTTTCATCCTGTTTTGGGCCTCGGGGGGGCGCCGGCCCCCCTGGGTAATGAGCAGAAAACGGCCCAGGATGAAACACGGGAACGTGTCGAGTCTTTTGGGGGTCGACGCTGGGAAGAAGTCATGACGTCGGGTGTGTGGGTTCGCCAGACCTGGACCTCTCTTCGAAAATAACGGGGCGGAGGGAGGCCTCTCAAGGGGTCCCCTTCCAGGCTCCTGGACCCTCGACAAAACGGCTCGGGAGGAAACGTCAGCCCGGGGGGAAGGGTCTATTTGGCTCAGCGTGTCGCTCCGCCAGTGCTGGCCCACCACGCCTCGGCGCGACACGCCAACCACATCCCAGCCCACCAGCCCCCTGTCCCACGAGGCAGAGCGACACACTAATCAACTTGCGAGGTGCAGCGTGGCGCAGGGACCGCCGCCGCGACGCGCTGAGCACAGGTTCCTGACTGTAGACCTCTGGGGGTGGGGGGTGGGGCTCTCGCCGTGAACAAGGTAACGACGTGGGATATCTTGGGAAGGCGAGCCCCCAGAGGTCTGGACCCTTTTGCAGGGATCAGTCTTTCATCCCGGGTGGTTTTTTGACGACCCTGGGGCCCGGCGAGGGCCCCCGGAGGCCGAAAAAACAATTTTGAGCATATCAGCCGCCACCGCAAGAGTTGTGTCAGCGTTTCTTCACGAGCTTGCCAGAAAGCTGGCTCAGTCTCTTAAGATCCTGTGTAGAGTGGCGCAAGACATAGAGGTCAGAGGACAGGATGTTCGACGAATTGATGGAACTAGTACTTAATTGAACAGTTCCGGTACCAATCGATCAACATAACTTGATGTTCCTTTACGACTTTTTCTTGTCGGAATGAATTTCGGATTCTTTCGAAATTCATTTTTGAATTCCAGACCCCCGGGAATCAATTGTTTTTAATACTTAATTCGTTAATCGATTAAGTTTTTGTTAGGCCACTATTTGTTTAATTACTTAGTTTATGAATGAAATCATTAGTTCACAAATTTATTCATCAAGTAATGAGCTAATACATTAGTTAATTCACTGATTAATGAATCATCTAAATCGTCCATTAATATAACGGAGAAGTCATCGGTAATTGATAACTCAATGGCCGTCGGCCCATCCGCTACAGCACCTGGGTTGTGGGGGGCAATTTTTGGGCCTCTTGGGAGCTTCTGGGGGGTCCCTTGGGAGCCTCTTGGGGACCTCTTGGGGATTACTGGGAGCCTCTTTGGAGTTTCTTGGGGGCTCTTGGTGGCCTCTGAGGGGCCTTTTGGGGGCGCCTTCTTGGAGCCGTCTTGAAGGCCTTTTGGGCCGTCTTGGGCGGCTCTTGGGCCGTTTTGGGAGCCATCTTGGGCTGTTTTGGGACCCTCTTGGATTCCTCTTGGGCTGTCTTGGAGCGATCTTTGGGGCCTTTTGGGCAGTCCTGGAGCGTCGGGAAGCCGACAAGGAGAGATCGCCTAAATCTTTCAAACACCTATTGACAATCAATGTTTTTGCTTCTTGGAAGGCCTCTTGGAGGCCTCTTGGGGCGTCTTGTGGGCATCTTCGGCCGTCTGGCGGCCACCTTGGGCGTCTTGGACCGATCGTTCGACGACTCGGGATCCTCTTCGGCCGTCTTTGGGGCCTCTTAGGGTCCTCTTGGCCCGTCTTGAGGCTCTCATTGCGTCCCAGAAGCTCGGCGGACACCCTCCGGCAGCGTTCAGCACTGCCTAGGACCGCCTGGGAGGCAGGGGGTTCGGGCCCTCATCAAGAGCCCTCAAGAACCACAAGCCCTGTACCTCGCAGAGCTGCATAAGCCTTGGGGCACTCCACTACATGCGAAGGCACGCACGGTGGCGGATAATTCAGTAATGCGTGAATTTCTGAATGAATTCCGAAAGGGGATGAGTTCCGAAATTAGTTAGTCAATGAGTCTTTCAACAAATATCCGTTGAATCTTCCGAAGGGAAAGAAAACGAACTGATCAGTTTGTTGGTGTGTTTCCTTAATTCTGTGTTGTTTTTTTCCTTTCTGGCCCCGAACAGCTGGCCCAGGGATTCTTGAACAAACTTCTGGGAAGCTGGCCCAGGCTTCTTAGATGTTTAGTTTCTTAGTAATACTTGTGGTTGTAATGTACAATCTCCTCGTCGTGAGTTTTCCGTTGCCCGAGGGGGTCTGGGCATGGTGGCTTTCGGAGTACGACTCGGCCTCCAGCGGCCCCTCGGGGACCATCACCCCGGCACCCTCGGAACGCCCTCGGGGAGGCGCAGCTGCCAGAGAGCACCCTGAGGCGAGAGCACATCCGAGAACCTGCGCATCCCTCCGACGACCACCGCCGCGACGGCAGAACCCTTCCGCCGTGCTTTCTCCCTCCAGACGCGAGGGGGGGCTCTGGGTGACACCCCCTGGGGCGGCCCGCCCTCGAAACCGCCAGGCGCCGCCCCCCCTCGCCTCGCGCACGCCGCCGCCCTTCGCCGGGGGCCGGCCCGCGCGGGCCGCGAGCGAGGGCGCCCGCGGAGCCGAGGAAGTGGCCTCTGCCATGGGATGACCTCCTGGGCGGCCCGGCCTCCCCTCCCTCCCAGCCTTCCTCCCTCCCTCCTCGTTCCCTCCCTCCTCGTTCCCTCCCTCCTCTTGCTCCCTCCCTCCTCCTCCCTCCCTCGTCCCTCCTCCCTCCTCCATCTTTTACCTCCTGCTCCTCGCTCCTTCTTCTCCTCCTCCTCCTCCTCCTCCTCGGCCTCCTTTCTTGCGTTGCTCGGACTTTGGCGAGAGAGCGCCGTAACGTCCGAACGCGCTCCGAACAACACCTCAGAGCGCGTTCGAATTACATGCGCGAGCGGGAAGGAAGTGCACTAAAGAAGATGCGGAAACATACAATGGCGACGAGTAAAGGAAATGTGGAGTAGGCCACACGTCCACTGCAGACAGCGCAGTACGGCGCCGAATGGGAGCTGCCTCCTCCTCACATCCTCTTCCTCCTCCTCCTCCTTCTCCTTCTCCTCCTCCTCCTCCTCCTCCTCCTTTTACAACCTCTAGATCTTCGCCTCCAAGCCATTCAGTTCCCATAGAATAGGCGACAAGCAGTACAGACAGCACGGCATACGTTGAGCGCCCTGTGCGCGAGATGGGCCATGTACCGGTGCCCTCAGTCAGGTAAGCTCTGGAAGGAACGGAGCTCGGAGCGAATAACCCTCTCCTTCTTCTCCTCTCTCCTCCCTTATCCTACTCCTCCGTCCTCCTTCTCCTGCTTCCTCCTCCTCCTCCTCCTCCCTCTTTCTCCTCCCTCCTCATTCCTCTCCTCCTCCTCCCTCCTTCCTCCTCCTCCTCCTCCTCCTCCTCCTCCTCCTCCCCCTCCCTCCCTCCTCCCTCCCTCCTCCTCCTCCTCCCCCTCCTCCTCCTCCTCCTCCTCCTCCTCCTCCTCCTCTTTACCTCCTGTCTCATCTCTTCCCCCCTCCTCCTCCTCCTCGTCCTCCTCCTCCTCCTCCTCCTCCTCCTCCTCCTCTCCGGAATGACCTCTTGGGCGGCCCCGGCCCGAAGGCCTCGGGCGCGTTGCCTCGGCGAGCATTGCCTGGGGCGGCCTTGGCGCCGCGGGGGGGTGGGGCGCAGAGCGAGGCTTGTCGCCTGGGATAGTGATGATGATGATGATGATGATGATGATGATGATGATGATGATGATGACGAAGATGATGATGCTGATGATGATGATGATGATTCTGATTATGCTTATGATGATGATGCCGATGATGATGCTTATGATGATGCTGATGATGATGCTGATAATGCTGATGATGCTGATGATGATGCTGATGATGGTGCTGATGATGCTGATGCTGATGAGGTTGATTAGGATGATCATGATGGCATGATGATGCTGACGATGATGCTAATGAAGATGCTGATCATGATGATGATGATGATGATGATGATGATGATGATGCTGCTGCTGATGATGATGATGATGATGATGATGATGGTGACGATGACGGTGATGATGATGCTGATGATGGTGATGATGATGATGACGAGGATGATGATGCTGATGATGATGCCGATGATGCTGATGATGATGATATTGATGATGATGATCATGATGACACGATGGTGATGATGATGATGATGATGATGATGATGATGATGATGATGATGATGATGATGATGATGATGCCAATGAAGATGCTGATCATGATGATGGTGACGATGACGGTGATGATGATGCTGATGATGACGCTGATGATGCTGATGCTGATGATGATGACGAAGATGATGATGCTGCTGCTGATGATGTTGATGCTGATGCTGAGGATGATGCTGCTGCTGATGATGATGAGGATAACAACTCAGATGAGGGAAAGGTACCCAAACTGCTACCCTTCCGTCATTTTCGCCTTCTTGGGCCTCCTGGGAGGCCCTCGTTGCCACCGCTGTAGTCGCCTCGAAAATCTGGTCAGAACGCACTCAGGGAGATGTCTGGGGAGCAGCAGTATCGGTACCATTTGATTTCCCCAGCTGCTGCTGACGAGGAGGATGATGAGGAATACAAGAGGTACACGTGTCTTCACCTCCGTGTATCGCCCCCTCCCATTAACGAACACCCGAAGATGTGCAGGGGGTTTATGATGGCCCTGATGGTGGGGGTGGTCCTGGTGATGGTGAGCGGTGATGGTGATAATGATGATGATGATGACGATCATGATGATGAGGAGGAGATTGTGATGATGATGATGATGATGATGATGATGATGATGCTGATGCTGTATATGATCACGACGACGATGATGCTGATGATGCTGATGATGGCGATGATGCTAGCGATGATGCTGATGATAACATGTCTTTTCGATACAGAATGCGTGTTTGTTTGGTTGTTTTTTTTTCAGCTGGTTCTTTGTTTGTTTGTGTGTTTCATTGTTTGCTTGCCTGCTTGTTCGTTTGATTGTTTATGTGCATGTGCTCGTGTTTGTGTTTGTGTTTGTTATGTGTGTGATTGTGTGTGTTTGTGTTGTGCTTGTGTATGTGTGTGTGTGCGTGTTTGTGTTAGTGTGGATATTGGGGCTAGTGTTCGTGTTCGTATACGTGTTATTGTTAATGTCCGTGTTGGTGCCATTATCAATCTTAGTCTTAGTCTTAATACTAGTGCTTGTGGTAATTAGTGCTAGTGTTATCGTTTGTGTTAGTGTTAGTGCTAGTGTTAGTCTTAGCGTTAGTGTTAGTTTTAGTGTTCGTGTCGCTGTCAGTGTCGCTGTCAGTGTGAGTGTCAGTGTGAGTGCCAGTGTGAGTGTCAGTGTCAGTGTTGTGTGTGTGTGTGTGTGTTCGAGCGGGCCCGGCTTCCTTCTCCCTCCTGCCTTCGCCGGGCGTTCCTTCTCGCTCCCCCGTGCATCGTGTGAATTCGCATTCGTATGTCCTACTTATGCTCTTCCGCCAGCGCAGTCACCCTGCCTAGCCGCCGACGCGAATAGTGTGTGAGCGTGTGTAAGTGTGAAGGCCAGGTGGGGGGGAGGAGAGGAGGAGGAGGAGGAGGAGGAGGAGGAGGAGGAGGAGGAGGAGGAGGAGGAGGAGGAGGAGGAGGAGGAGGGTTGAGGAGGAGGAGGGCCAGTGTAAACCCAAGACTCATCAACGATGTTGGAATCAACCCTCCCCCCGAGCTGCCTTTTCACAGGCCCCTACAAGGATTCATTTCCACTGAGGGAAGTGCCCCGCTGGGAGACAACCTCTTGAAGATCCCGAAGCGTGCCAAAACACCACTCTCTGAATTTCAACTCCGCTAACCAATCTGACTGTTGCATCTCGCCTCCCCGGGCTGCCCATGACCAGAGTCTGGCCGCAGGCGTGCTGGGCGGCGCCCCGCCTCACCGTCCGCCACGATTCGGGGGCGCTGCTGAATGCCGTCCAGGATCGGGGGGCCAGCTGCGCCCTGGACATCGACACACCCATGTCCTCCTCCTCCCTCCAGAGGTTCCAGGAGCCCGCGCGCGCTCGCCAGCCCGGGCGGGCAGAAAGCGGCGCACTTGCACATACTCACTCGACGGAGGCTGCTTACCCCAAGTTGGCACAGGTCGAGCTGGGATGGCGCGCCCGTGAGGCGGCCGCCTACCCGCCGCGGGGTTAAGGTACGGCGATCCAGGCGGAGACCACCACAGCAGCCCCATGGTCAGCTATCCGAGCGTGGGCGCAGCTACGCCTCCAGGGCCGCCTCACCACGCACACAGCCGCCTCTCGAGCTGGGTTCGCACGGTGCGGGGAGGCTTTTTCCCGAGGCGGACTCCACCCCCTGCACGGGTGCCGCCAGGCCGAGGAGTCGGCCCGCGAGCTCGCGCGCGGCATGGCGTGGGCGGAGTTCCCCTCGGCGGCCATCCTCACCGGACTGCGTGCGGGCCTTGCCGCGAACTTAGCGCGGGAGGCGTACGCCGCGGTGGCGGAGCCTCCCGGCTGCAGCACCGCCGCCACCTGCGCCCCGCCGCCGCCGGGCGCTGTCAGCCCCAAGCTAGGAGGCGCTCGGCGTCGCTGGAGCGCCCCTGCCTGCCAGCTGCCGCCCGCGCCCCGCCGCCGCCTGCCCCGCTGCCCCTGGCGCTGGCTGGGGCGGGGGAACATTTGCTTCGTGAGCGTTCGGTCCGACGCCGACGCAGAGTCGCACCCATGTGGGCGACCCCTCGGCCTGGGCTGAGTCGTTGGTAGAACCGCGGAACCCACGTGGTTGCCAGCTTGACAAGCGCCCACAGGCAACAGTCTGTGGCGGTGCTTCAAGGAAAATGAGTGGGAGGGGAAGAAGAGGAAGAGGAGGAGGAGGAGGAGGAGGAGGAGGAGGAGGAGGAGGATGAGGAGGAGGAGGAGGAGGAGGAGGAGGAGGAGGAGGGGATGGTGAGCAGGTCTTAATAAGTCTTGGCTTTCGGACGTGCGTTCTTGGAGCCGTAGCCCCTGGCGGCCCCCTGCCGCACGCTTCCCGTGAGCGGAAGCGCTCAATTCGCGCCGCTTGGCAGCGCCAGCGCTGCAGAATTCGCCAGGCCTCCTCCTGTTGCTGCTCGTTCCCCTCCTCCCTCCACATGCAGGCGTCGTGAAATCACGACGGGCGTTTTCGGTCCCGCTTCGGGTCCTGGGACCCCCGCGGGTTAAAGATGAGACGCATTATTTTGTTGTTTTCTTCGTTTTTTCCTGCAACGTCGCATGTTCCCCTCCTCACAAGAGTCAACCTCCGCGAATCTCCGAAAATCACCTCCTCCCTTGTCCCTCCTCCCTTCCCCCTTTGACCAACGCCTCGGAATTCGAGTGTTTTTTTTCTTCTGCTTGGATCGGTTGTGGTGTGCCAGTCCACAGACCACGTGGCGACGTTCCGTGTGCCGCGCGGTGTCGAATCCGAGTGGCGCGGTGTGTGAGGAGCAGCCTCTTGCCTCGGCATCTGCGCCTGGTTCTGCGAGCGTTTGCGACCCCTACGGTGTGATCCGATGCGATTTGATTCGCCACCGGCTGGGGCCGCGATTCCGATCCGATTCGATTGGATTCACAGGTTTCGGACAACCTGGAGCCAGGAACTGCGATTCGATCTTGATTCGATCCAGGACGATCCACTGCCGATCCGACCCGTCGTCGATCCCATTCGTTCTCGCGCCTCGGTCCAGAATCGGGCACCCCCGCTGGGGTTCAACTGGCTACAGACATCCTTCGAGCCCTGAGCCTCAGCCCGGAGGGTTACAAAAAGGGTTTTTGTGGAGGGGGTTTTCCAGGAGGGGTCCCCCAGGAGCCTCGCACCCCCTGTTTTGACGAGGTGCCGAGGTCCCTTGGGAGCTCTCTGGAAAACCCCCTCCCCCAAACCCTCTTTGGAACCCTCCGGTCAGCCACTCTTCCAGGAGTCTCGCCTGCAGGGGTAAGGTCCACACGTGGCTGCCTGCCAGTGCTGCCCGTGCCCCCCCCGCTTCTCGCGCTCGCGCGCTCCCCGCTCGGCCTCTCCTGCTCCTGCCTGTGCTCCCGCCGCCGCTGCCGCTGCCGCCGCTCCTGCTGCTGCCGGGGCCGCCGCCGCCAGCGCCGACGCTCCGTGCCGTGTCCTCCTCCTGGTCCCGCCTTCCTTCCCCGCTGCCTCCTCCTCCTCCTCCTCCTCCTCCTCCTCGTTGCCGCCTCCTCCAGCCCCCTCTGCCTCGCGACCCCCTCGGGCATGGGTTCCTCCTACCTCCTCCTCTTTACTCTCCTCGTCCTCCTCCTCTCCCTCTCCCTTACCCTCCTCATGTTCGTCTTCTCTCTTTCGTCATCCTTATGCTTTTCTGTTTCCTCTTCCTGCCTAATCCTCCTCTTCCCCCACCCCGCTTCCTTATCACTAACTCCGCCCCGTCGCACTCCGAGGCGTGCCAGCAATGCGGGCCTGGCGTTTCGCCCGAGACTTCTCCTTACCGTTTATGATCCTAAAGCTGATCATTCGCAAGATTTTCGCGGATGGATGGCGGCCCGTTTTTAAGATCTGACTCTCGCCGCAGCACCGCGCGCATTCGCTTCAAGCATGTGCAAGAGATTCGCGGATGGAGGGCGTGCCGTTTTCAACATGTGGTTCTCGCCTTTGCGCCGCGTGCATTCACTTTAGAAACATGCAGGAGTTTCACGGATAGAGGGCGGTTCGTTGTCGACATGTGGGCTCTCGCCGTAGCGCCGCGCGCATTCGTCTCAAACGAAAGCAAGAGTTTCGCGGACGGAGGGTGGTTCGTTCCTGAACGTGGCTCTCGCCTTAGCGCCGCGCAGGTTTGATTTATGAGTTTACAGCAGTTTCGAGGATTCTCATGGTTAACGTCTCATGGATAACGGATTTTCCAGGGCGCAGAAATTATTTTGATTCGCGGTGTTGAAGTCCCAGGAACGACGTTCTGGCACGATTCAGAGTTGCCAACACGCAACGGTCACGGGGATTCGCGGCGCTGAAGTCCCAGGAATGGTGTTCTGACGCAGGTCAGGTTTTTCAAGCGGTTGTCTTCCAACAGGGCATTTCCTTCATTGAAAACAACTCCTTCCAGGGGCTTATGAAGAGGGAACTTAGAGGGATGAAGTCCCAGGAATTGTGTTCTGACGCAGGTCAGGTTTTTCAAGCGGTTGTCTTCCAACGGGGCATTTCCTTCATTGAAAACAACTCCTTCCAGGGGCTTATGAAGAGAGAGCTTAGAGGGCATTAGATGGAGGGCTTGCAATATCCAGGAGGGAAAACACACAGGCACAATTCGATTCCCAGGAACATGTGGGAAACTATGGGTTGTGTGTGGGTGGGGGGGGAAGACAAAACGCAGAACATGTGGGAAACTATGTGGACTCCTGTTATTTGTGTGATTTGTGTGTATGTGTGTGAGTGTGTGTGTGTGTGTGTGTGTCCCAGGGTCCCTTCAAATATCGTTGATGGGTTTTGGTTTCCACTGGTTTTCTTTCTCCTCCTCGTCCTTCTCCTCGTCCTTCTCTCCTCGCGTTTCGTGGTATTCGCCTTTTCTGTCGTCGCTCCCCCTGGCGAGGATCAAACCACCACCCAGGGGTAGAGGGAGGGAAAGATGCTTGGAGGGAGGGGACGGAGGGGGAGGAAGGGGGGAGAGGGATAGGATGTAGAGAGGGTGGGGGGGTAGCAATCGGGAGAGGGAAGGAAAGGAAGAGGAGGAGGAGGAGGAGAAGGAGGAGGAGGAGGAGGAGGAGGAGGAGGAGGAGGAGGAGGAGGAGGAGGAGGAGGAGGAGGAGGAGGAAGGAAGGACGGACCAGGCGAAGGAGAAGGAGAAGGAGAAGGAACATGAGAAGGAGAAGGAGACGTGGGATCAGGCGAAGGAGGCGGAGCCAAACGGAGGAGGAGGAGGAGGAGAGGAGGAGGAGGAGAAGGAGGAGGAGGAGGAGGAGGAGGAGGAGGAGGAGGAGGAGGAGGAGGAGGAGTGGGAGGAGGAGGAGGAGGAGGAGGAGGAGGAGGAGGAGGAGGGGGAGGAGGATGAACGGAGCAGTGGGAGGCGAAGAAGGAGAAGGAGAACAGAGAAGGATCAGCAGAGGTGAGATCTGGTGGAGGAGGAGCACGAGAAGGATCAGGATGAGGATGAGGAGGAGCAGGGCGATGATGATGATGATGATGATGATGATGATGATGATGATGATGATGATGATGATGACGAGGATGATGCTGATGCTGCTGATGACGATGATGCTGATGATGATGCGGACGATGATGGTGCTGATCATGCTGACTATGCTGATAATGCTAATGATGAGGATGCTGCTGCTGCTGGTGATGATGATGCTGCTGCTGATTGTGATGATGCTGCTGATGTTGACGATGTCGATGGCGATGACGCTGATGATGATGCAGAGGATAATGATGATGATACTGATGGTGATGATGATGATGATGATGATGCTGTTGGTTTTCGTTGTTGCTGCTGTTGCTGCTGTTGTTGTTGTTGGTGTTATTATTATTTTTCGTATTATTTATAGTATTTAGGTTTTTTGCTCGTTATTATGGGTATTATTATTCTTTTTGTTCGTATCAGTGTTGCTATTCGTATTCCTATTTTCATGCTTATGGTGATGCTGATAATGCTGATGATGCTGCTGTCGCTGATGTTGACGATGATGATGCTGATGGTGGTGGTGATGTTTTTGATGCTGGTAATTATAATGATGATGACGACGATGTTGATAATGATGCTGATGAATCTGCCGATGATGATGATTCTGATTATGTGGATGCTGATGGTGGTGATGATGACGATGACGATGATGCTGCTGCTGATGATGATGCTGCTGCTGCTGATTATGATGATGCTGCTGCTGATGATGATGATGATGCTGATGCTGCTGATGCTGATACTGCGGGTGGTGGTGATGATAATGACGATGGCGATGACGATGTCGACGACGACACTGGTGGTGATGATAAGAAGATGATGAGGCTGATGATGCTCCTGATGACGATGACGACAATTGTGATGATGCTGGTGATGATGATGCTGATGATGCTGCTGCTGCTGCTGCTAATGATGATGATGATGATGCAGATGATGATGATGATGATGATGATGATGATGATGATGATGATGATGATGATGATGATGATGATGATGATGATGATGATGATGATGATGATGATGATGATGATGATGATGATGATGATGATGATGATGATGATGACGGTGATGACGGTGATGACGGTGATGATGAGGAAGAGGAGGAGGAGGAGGAGAAGGAGGAGGAGGAGGAGGAGCAAGAGGCGGAAGATGCCATCGTCACTGCTTCCTTCTCCTCCTCCTCCTCTTCCTCCCTCATTTTCTCGTTCTGGCTCCTCGTTCTGATCGCCGTCGTCGTACTCCTCCACCTCCCCCTGTGCGCGAGGACCCCGTTGGAGGCGGATGGGCCGTGCCGCGGGGAGCTCTGCTCGGCGGACGCCATCGTGCTGGAGGGGAAGGGGGGATGTGTGTGTGTGTGTGTGTGCTACTCCGCCTCGACCCTGCACGCGAGGCCGCGATCGCGAACAAAGAAGTGTGTGTGTGTGTGTGTGTGTGTGTGTGTGTGTGTGTGTGCGTGTGGCTGTGTGTGTATGTGTGTGTGTGTGTGTGTGCGGGTGTGTGTGTGTGTGTGTCGGCGGTGGCCGCAGAAGGAGGGCGGATGAGGAGGGCGAGAGGAGGAGGGAGGGATGGAGGGAGGGGGGGCGTGAGGAGGAGGGAGGGAGGGAGGAGGGAGCGATGGAGGATAAGGATGAGGATAAGGATGGTGATGGTGATGGTGATGGTGATGGTGATGGTGATGATCATGGTGATGGTGATGGTGATGGTGATGGTGATGGTGATGGTGGTGGTGGTGATGATGATGCTGCTGATGTTGCTTCTGGTGATAGTGATGGTGATGGTGGTGGTAGTGATGATGATGAGGAATAGTGGGAGGAGGAGGAGGAGGAGGTCCTCGTTCTCTCCTCCTTCTCCTTCGCCTCCTCCTCCTCCCTCTTCTCCTCCTCCTCCTCCTCCTCCTCCTCCTCCTCCTCCTCCTCCTCCTCCTCCCCCTGCTCGTCTGGCCGTCTGGCCCTCCGTGGGGTCGCCGCGGCTGGGCCCGTTTCGGGGTCGCTGAGAAGCTGCGCTCCGGGCCCTCCGCTGTGCCGACCCGATGCCCTGCCCGCTGCTCACCTGTCCACCTGCCCCGCCGCAGACCGCCCAGAGTCGCAGGCCTCGAGGTTGACACCGACACCAATATCGGCGGCGTGCCTCCACCGAGGGAAGAAGATCCCGATCTCGGTGATGGTGGTAATATTCTGGCTTTCAAGGTGGCCGAAATATTACCACCAACACCTAAATCTAGGATCACCTTCCCCCTGTGGAGGCAACCCCCTGTGTTGGTGTTGGTGCCCATTTCCAGGCCTCCAACAGAGACTCTTCGCGGGCTCCGTCCGTAGAAGGTTGGCTCTCGAGCGCGCCCTGTGCCCCACAACGGGCCATGCCCGCGGGCGGGGGCCAGGCTGCCCGCGTGAAGCATGCCCAAAACATTTCAACCTCCCACCAGCCGGGCAACCTCACCTCGGAGCGCCGATCCTCCACTGGCGCCCTCCTGCTCTCACCCTGCTGCTGCTGCTGAGGAGGCAGCGGAGGATGGAGGCGTGAGGTGGGGGAGGCGGCGGTGGCGAAGGAGGGAGGCCTGCTGGAGGAGGGGTATGCGTCCAGGGGCGGAGGCGGATCAGGAGGAGGACAAGGCTGAAGGCTGAAGGCATGAAGCGCGGTCCAGGTCGCAGTGCGCGCCGCTCCCGCGGCGCGTGGCCGCCGATCTGGGCGCCCGCAGCAGAACCCGGTCGGCCCCGCGGGCACAACCCCCTCAGGGCCAGCGGACCAGGGCCCCACAGCACAACCCCACAGCCAGCCCAGGCACGCGAGGTTGAGCCCCCAGCCCTCCGAGCCGAGTCCATCCGTGGCGACGCAGCCGCCACGCGGCCCGCGGGCCAAAAGCGACCAAGGCCAGGACCTACCAGTGCGCGGCCCCCAGCCCCCAGCTTGCCGAGCCGAGTTCATCCGCGGCGACGCAGCCGTCAGGCGCCAGGCGGAAGGCAGACCCACCGCTCGCCCGAAAGCGACCCAGACCAGGACCTTCACGGAGCAGGGGCCGCGGTTGGGAGGGACGGGCAAGTGGAAGGTCCACCTCTCCCCCGACCCGCCACTCACGACGCTTACGGCGCGAGGACCCTGGCCTCCTCGGGGCCAGCCCGAGGACGTCGAACGCCAGCATCGACTCCAGGCGCTAGCGCGTCAGCCTCCTCCACGATCTCCAGGTCGAAGGCGGCGAACATCCGCAAGCAACAGCAGGCTGGGAGCCAGCCCGCAGGCCGCGCAGCACCATGGCGACGCACGCCGCGACGAAGAGGCGGGCAAAGGCGCGCAGCACGGCGGACGTCGCTGCTGCCCAGCGACGACAGCCCGGCGCGAGCATGCCTCTTCGCGGCCGCCAGTGGGCCCGCCAGATGCTGCCGGTGGGCCGTAAGCCACCGAGCGGCAGCAGAGCGCGGGGTGGCGCCAGCAGGGTCGCCGGGTAGCCGGCCTCCGGCGAGCCACCATCGCCGCAGGAGCACGGAGGCACAGAAGGGGACGGATGCGCGGGCCCAGCGAGTCGCAAGGTTGAGTCGCGACGGCTAGGAGGAGGACAAGGAGGAGGGGGGGAGGAGGAGGAGGAGGAGGAGGAGGAGGAGGAGGAGGAGGAGGAGGAGGAGGAAAGGGAGGAGGAGAGGAGAGGAGAGGAGAGGAGAGGAGAGGAGAGGAGAGGAGAGGAGAGGAGAGGAGAGGAGAGGAGAGGAGAGGAGGAAGAGGAGCTTGGCAACGATTAGAATAGTGCCACCACTTCCGACATGTAAGGCGCAACTCAAACGAGTTAGGGTTCAGAGTCCTCGGGTGGCGACACAACCTGCCGTCGGCGCCCCTGCGCGCGCACTACGAGAGACTCGACCTCCTCGCGGGAGGTGAACCCGAAGAGAGCAAGATCTCCTCACAAGGTCAACACCGGTCCCAACCCTCCCGCCTTTGCCAGAAGACGCGGACAGGGAGATGCACGGCCTGGGATGGGGCCAGCGGCGGGGAGCTATCCAGGCCATCTTGCCCGCTAGTCTCACGCTCTGTCCGAGAGTACGGTGGCGCGAGACATTAGAAACCCGTTCTTACTGGGATGACGGCCCTGCAGGATCCGAGCTAGCTGCCTCTCTCCTCCAGATCGGGCTTGCCTACGTGGCCTCCAACAGTGCAGACCGAGCCACACAAGGTGCAAAACGCGAGGTCCCGTCGGACAGTCCCTTCACTGGTAGAAGCGTTTGCTTCCAGGATAGCGTGATTGCGCGCTGGCCGAAGGTGGAGATCGGGCCACTCGGCCCTGACCTTGCCTTGTCCCTTCACCCCCGCACCCTCACACCCCGTCCCGCCGCCACGTTGGGAAGGAGGAGGAGGAGGAGGAGGAGGAGGAGGAGGCGTACGCTACAGGTTGGTGCCTTGCAGTTTGCCCAAGAAATAGGATGATGATGATGCTGATGATGATGATGATGATGATGATGATGATGATGATGATGATGATGATGATGATGATGCTGATGATGATGACGATGATGATGATGATGCTGCTGATGATGATGATGCTGATGATGATGATGATTATGATGATGATGATGATGATGATGATGATGATGATGATGAGGAGGAGGAGGAGGAGGAGGAGGAGAGGCCCCCAGGGAGTGGGGGCAACTCTGGGTCGAACTCAAGTTGAATTTGCTCAGGCCAATCGATCCTGACATAGTCAAACTGCTTGCAGTTACCAATACAAGCTTCCTGCTCAGCCGAATATTTGCAAAGTTGCCTGGCCAACTCGGCCCATCAGCCTCGGGAATCCAACCGAGCTGGGCTCCTTCCTTAGCGTACCCATCAGCCGCCTTGATCCCAAGGTATTCAAGGCGATTGAGCATACCATTCTCAACATCCCTAGCTGCACAATGAGCGGGAACCATGTGCCACTGGGCTCCTTCGAGCTTGTTGCGGACGTGCTGCCACAAGCGAGACTGAGCACTATCAGGGTTGATAGCCTGGATGGGGTCGGAGCCACATCCCAGAGTGCCTCGAACCATCCGTATGCAATTTAGCCTCTGGAAGAACCAGCGCTGGGCGAACCAGAGGGACCACGGCGTAATCTTCGCCCATCACGCGCATCCTGAGAAGCAGCAGCGTCTAAGGGCACCCACCCCCAAATGGCTCGAGCCACTTTCTCCCCACCCGTCAGTCACAATCACCGCCCATCCCGCCGGCCTGATCCTGTGCAGTGCAGGTTCACAGCAGGAGCCGTCCTGAAAAAAGATGTGCGCGCCAGCCTCAAGCATCAGGCCTCCCGTGGGCCAGTTGAACTTGTTCACGGCGGCACCAGCGGGCTCCTCAGGGCGGGCAAACCAGCAGGTCGGGTCAGGGAGTATGCAACGCGAGAACAGCCCCTGGGCCCAGGGCGAACGGAGGCGAATTCTTTCTGCAGCTCTCCTAAGGTCAGCGCTGAGAGAGTCGCGACGCCACAGAGTGAGCCTCGCAAGCGGAACGACGACGAAACATAGTGCCCGACGCCCTCTCTGGCAGAGAATACACTCGGGGGCAATGTCTTGGCACGGGTCAGCAACACGTTGCTGGCACCAATAGCTGTTAGCTACAAGGCTGCGCAACATTGGCGGCAGTGGTCAGACGAGTAGGCCTCGCCATTCCGAGTCGAAGTCACTCTGCTGAGTCTGCTCATCAGTGACGGTTTCCTCTTCGCACGCTTATCGTATGTGCCTGCGGCAGTTGCTGCGTTCGAATTCCAGGCCCTACGCCATTTGCCAGTATGCCGACACGCAGGCCGCCCAGGCCTGTCCCCATGCCCTGCTTTGGCCTTGCCGGCTGGCGCTGCTGTGTAGCGCACACTGGGGAATCGATCCCGCCTGTTGGGGCGCAGGAGTGGTGGCTCGTGGCCCTTTCTTTCCGCAGCTGGAGGAGGGGGGCCACGGTGATGCTGCTGCTGATGATGCTGATGATGATGATGCTGCTGCTGATGATGATGTTAATGCTGATTTTGATGGTGATGCTACTGCTGATGATGATGATGCTGCTGCTGCTGCTGCTCCTGATGATGATTATTCTGATGATGATGGTGATGGTGGTGGTGATGATGATGCTGATGATTCTGATGATTACTATGATGATGATGGCTTTGACGCTGATGAGATGGTGCTGTTGTTGATGATGGTGATGACGCAGACGACGCTGCTGCTCACGATGATGCTGCTGATTAAGATGCTGGTGATGCTGCTGCTCTTGATGCTGCTGCTGATGATGATGCTGATGAAGATGATGATGGTGCTGCTGCTGATGACGATGCTGCTGCTGCTGATGATGACTATGGTGATGGCGATGGTGATGGTGGTGGTGGTGGTGTTGGTGGTGGTGATACTGATTATGATGACGATGATCATATCGATGCTGACGATGATGTCTATTCTGACGATGATGATGCTGATGATGATGATGATGATGATGATGATGATGATGATGATGGTGATGATGCTGGTGCTGATTATGATGCTGATGCTGCTGATGATGATGACGATTCTGATGATGCTGCTGCTGCTGCTGATGATGATGATGATGATGAAGGTGATGATGAGGATGGCGATGACGATGACGATGCTGCTGCTGCTGACCACGACGACGACGTGCAGGCCGAGAGAGGCCATAAGACAGGTATATGGCGTGCCCTCGAGCGAGATGAGGCGTCGCCTCGAGAGGAATCGGCAAAGTTGGGGCGTGGCGGGAGGTCTTCGAGACTGACGCCCTGGCTCCCCACTCGATGACGGGGTATGCGGAGCAGTACACCGCCCAGATGAGGAGCCGCGAGCCACACGCTGCGCCATCTCGTCACGGGCCCGTGTCCCGCCTGGCCCCTCCCGCCCCCGATGAGTGAGTGCGCATTTCGGGTTCGGAGGGGTTTCGCTGAACTTGGGATGCTTCCATGGAGGATCCTCGTGCGCCCAGGTGCTTTCGAGCCTCCCACAGGGGCTTCGTTCCTTGTTTAGCGTTCCTTAGGGCGCAGCACATCCTATAAGACATCGTCCTGCCTGCGGGTGCCCCCCGAAGAGCTTCTTGCCCCATCATGGCCCTGGGGGCTCACAGAAGCCTTGGGGCTCTTCAGGAAGCTCGAATCTGGACGAAGACTGTGTCCCAAGATTCCCTGCAGCGAGATTTGTTATCACATGTGCCCACTGTGGTAGCTTTCTTGTGCTCCCCTTCCCCGTCAGGCTCAAGAGGGCAGGGGGCGAGTGGTGGGGAGGAGGTCCTCCTCCCCGTGCTGCTCGAAAAGACCACCACACTCAATGTTTAGCCAGGGGGGCGCTCCAGGAAGGCCCCGCCTCTGAGGGATCGAAGGTGTTGGCATCTCTTTCTTGGCGGAAAGCGGTGGAAGGCCGGCGGAAGCCGGCGGAAGCAGAACGGGGGCGGCTCCGGCGGCGGAAGCCGGCGGAAGTATAAGTTGCCTTCCCAGGAGATGTCATGCCATGTTTTCTCCATTCGTTTTTCGTATGGTAGTCCTAGCTTCATCCCTGGAGAGCTGGTCCACGGACCCCCTATTTTGCCCTTGCAGTCGTCAAGCTGTCCGCATGGCTTCCTCCTATCCGCATGGCTTCCTCTGCTGGCTTCCTCCTGTCCACATGGCTTCCTATCCGCATGACTCCCTCCTGTCTGCGTGGCATCCTCCTATCCGCATGGCTATTCCAATGGCATCCGAACGCGTCTAATAATCTTCTGAGTCTGAAGTAGGGCAGAATAGAGTAGAGTAGAGTAGAACATAGTAGAGTAGAGTCGAGTAGAGTAGAGCAGAGCAGAGTACAGCAGAGTAGAGTAGAGTAGAGTATGGTAGATGAGTTGAAAGTAGACCAGAGCAGAGCAGACTAGAGTAGCGCAGACGGAGCTCGGCGGAAGGGGCGGAAGGTCGGCGGAAGCTGGCGGCAGCAGAATGGGGGCGGCCCCGGCGGCGGAAGCCAGCGGACGTATTAGGTGCCTTCCCAAGAGATGCCGTTTTTTTCTGCACATCCATCCCCGGAGAACTGGTCTAAGGACCCCCTGTTTTGCCTTTGCAGTCGTCAAGCTGTCCGCATGGCTTCCTCTCACTCGCATGGCTATCCCAATGTCTTCCAGACCATCGTCCAACAATCGTCAGACTCAGAAGTAGAGTAGAGAAGAGAAGAGCAGAGCAGAGCATAGCAGAGTAGAGTAGAGCAGTGCAGAGTAGAGAAGAGAAGGGTATAGATCGGTAGAGCGGGCCAGAGTAGAGCAGTCGAGCAGAGCAGAGTAACGTGGTCGGATAGAGTCGAGCAGAGCAGAGGAGCTTATAATAAGATAAGATCGAGTGGACTGAGGTGGCTAGTGCTGTTGCGCCGGCCCGCAGAGGAAAAACGATGTCCACACGGGGAGGCCTTCTGCCTCTCGGGAGCCGTCTCAGGGGCCGCTATTGGGCGGCGTCCTGTGGGCCTCTTGGGGGGGCCGCTTGGAGCCTCCTGGGGGTCTGCCTGGGCGCCTGGCGTCGGGCTCGGGTGTCACCTTGGGGCGGAGGGCTCGAAATGTCGGTTCGAGGCCCCCCTCCTCGGGCCTCTTTTGATGCCCTTTCGGGGCCCGCTTGGGCCGTCTGGTTCGCCTCTTCGGCCATTCCAGGGCTCTCTTGGGCCACCCTGTGGCCGTCCTGGAGCAATCTTTGGGGGCCTCTTGGGCAACTTCGAGCGCTGGTGAAACCAACAGGGTGAGTACGCAAACAATGAAAGTTGTGAAGCTTCCGCAAGTTCGCCGACCCCCATAACAGTGAATTCGTCAAGAGTCGTGCCACCGTGTCTGTCCTGTGGGTCAGGAGCCTCGGGGATGCATATTAGGGTCCAGGGGGCATCTTATTGGCTTTTTGGGGCATCTCGGGGCCTCTTGGGGGCCTCTTTGAGTGCTTCTCGGAAGCCTCTTGGGGCCTCTTGGGGGTGCCTCGGGGATTACCGGGGGCTCTTGGGGCCATCACGGCGGGAAAGACTCGAGATGTCAGTGCGTACTGCCCCTCTTGGGCCCCTCTTGAGCCCTTCTGGGCTGCCTTAGGGGCCCCAGGGGCCGTCTTCGAGCCCTCTTGGGCCCTCTTGGGGCCATCTTGGGGGCCTCATGGGCCGTCTTGAAACGATCGTGGGGGCTCCTTGGGCCGTAGTGGAAGCTGTCAAGACGAAACATGCGTGTATGTAGAACATGCACACTTTCCCTGGGGGGTGACCATTTTTGCTTCTTGTGGCCCTCTCAGCGGCCCTCTGAGAGCACTTTTGGGCCGTCTTTGGCCTCGTAGGCCGTCTCGAAGCCATCTTGGACCTTTGCGGGGCCTGGGCTGCTTCGACGCTTTCTCAGTCAGTCTCGGCGCTGGCTGGGCTGTCTTGGGGCTCTCTGGAGGCTCCAGAGGGGCCCCGGGGGACGGGCTCCCCCCCTGCTCCCCACCCTCTCATGCGATTTTTGGCCCCAGGGAAGGGGGAATGGGGGAGGGGGACAGCCAACCATCTCACGCGTCTTCCCAACACTGGCAAGCGGGGATCGGCGGGTTTGGGCAGAGTGGAGTCGAGTAGGTTAGGGAAGGGTAGGGTGGCAGGATAGGGTAGGGTAGGGTAGGGTCAAGACTCCCTTCCCGCCCTCAAGCCGTCTCGCTCACTCCCACCCGCCCTCCCAACACATACGTAGCACCCGAGCCTGGCCCGAGCCGCAGCATATTCAGCAGTCGTCGTTGGATGGGCAGCTTCTGGGGGCGAATCCGCCGCCGCCGCCGCCGCCGCCTCCGCCGCCGCCGCTGCCGCGCCGCCGCCGCCGCCGCCGCTGTCCGCCGCCGCCGCCGCCGCGCCGCCGCCCCCGTCCGCCCGCCGCGCCGCCGCCGCCGCGCCGCCGCCGCCGCCGCCCGTCGCCCCCGTGCCGAAGCCGCGCCGCAGCCGCTGCCGCCGCAGCCGCTGCCGGCGCCTCCGCCGCCGCCGCCGCACCGCCGCAGCCGCCGCCGCCGCCGCCCCCGCCGCCGCCGCCGCCACCGCCGCCGCCACCGCCGCAGCCGCCGCAGCCGCTACCCCCGCCAGCCGCCGCCGCCGCCAAGTGTACTCTGTATTTTTTTGGACAGGGATGGTGGGGGGAGGCCGGATCGGGTTCGCTGCGCATGCTCCGAATTTGGAGGCAGAGTGTGTTTTGTATTGTTTTCTAGAAGGGGTGGTGGGGAGGTGCCCGCATTGTCGCTGGTTGGCTCCCAGTCGCCTGGGGGAAGGGTTGTACAATAATAGGGACCAATGCTATAATCGAGCATAATAGAGTAGAGTAGGGTAGATGGTATAGTAGAGTGGGGCAGAGTAGAGTGGAATAGAGTAGACCATCAAAATATCATAAGGTAAATCACATGACCATGTGTTACAGTGAAGAGGGGGTAGACTGTACCATGACATAATAGGAGCAGAGTAGAGTAGACTAGAACAGACTAGAGTAGAGCAGAGTAGAGTAGATTGGGGTATGGGTAGGGTCTACTAGAGCAGAGTTTAGTGGACTAGGTTCGATCAGGTAAGATCAGGTTCGATTAGGGTAGTGTATGGTAGGTAGAGTAGCCTATGGCAGAGTGGAGCAGAGTGTGATAACGTAGAGTAGGGCAGATCGTACAGCAGAATCGGGTAATGCAGAGTAGAGTAGAGTGGAGTAGGGTGGGATCGAGTAGGGTAGAGTAGGGTAGAGCCGAGCAGAGTAGAGCATATCAGGGTAGAGTAGAACTCAGTATTTCGTAGTATATCAAAGTACAGTAGGAGTGTGAGTAGAGTCGAGAAGAGTATAGGAGGAGTAGAGTAGAGTAGAGTCGGGTAGGGTGGAGTAGAGCACCTCAATAGTTGAAATCTGCGCTGTCTTATATTTGGTTTCAGGGTTTCCAGGACTCGACATTTAGGGGCGTTCATTCTTGCAGTGGTTTGACTGTACACCCCCTCCACATCTGTCTCAAGAGGTCAATGGGGCGAGTGGTGGGGAGGAGGCCCCCTCCACGCCCTGCTCGAGCAAGTCTACTGTTCAGCCAATGTTCTCAGGTATGTTTGGAGGGAATGCCTTCCCTGCCGTGAGGAAAGAGGAGCAGGAGGAGGAGGAGGACGAGGACGAGGACGAGGACGAGGAGGATGAGCGGATGATGCTGATGCTGCTGCTGCTGCTGCTGATGGTGATGATACTGATGATGATAACGAGGATGCTGCTGACGACGACGATGATGCTGATGCTGATGCTTATGATGACGCTGCTGCAAATGATTGTGATGATGATTGTGATGATGATTGTGATGATGCTGACGATGATGATACGGCTGCTGATGATGATATCTGATGGTGATGATGATGCTGGTGTTGCTGCTGCTGATGATGTTAGTGATGCTGTTGCTGCTGCTGATGATGCTGCTGCTAATGATAACGCTGATGCCGTTGCTGCTGCTGATGATGCTGCTGTTGATGATGATGATGATGATGAAGAAGAGGAGGATTATGCGTTTGCTGCTGCTGATGATGGTGGTGGTGCTGCTGCTGATGATGATGCTGATGCTGATGCTGATGCTGCTGATGATGATGATAATGATGTTCATGATAATGATGATTCTGATGATGAGCAGCAGGAGGAGGAGGAGGAGGATAATGAGCAAGAGGAGGAGGAGCAGGAGGAGGAGAAAGAGGAGGAGGAGGAGGAGGAGGAGGAGGAGGAGGAGGAGGACGAGGACGAGGAGGATGAGCGGTTGAGGAGGAGGAGGAGGAGGAGGAGGAGGAGGAGGAGGAGGAGGAGGAGGAGGTGGTGGTGGTGAAGGTGAATGAGGAAGATGTTGCCCTGTCCCCCTCGTACTCTTCTCCCATGCGTTTTCACCCTCCCCCTCTCTCGCACCTGGTCCCTCTCGCCCCCTCCTCATTGAAGTTGTGTAGGACTGGTCATTGGAGACTTGGAGCGCTCCCATGTTTTCTCAGAATCGCGCGCAGCAGGTCCGTCATAGCCAGCCCTGCTTCTCTAGGCAACTGCAACCAATTGCGAGCCCTACCTCTGCGGATCCAATCGCCCTTTAGGGCCGTTTTCGGGCCCTCTTGGAGGCCTCTTCGGCTGTCCTGGGGCGATATTAGGGGCCTCTTGGGCCGTCTCGGAGCGTGGGGAAGCCAACAGGCGAGAACGCCAACATCAATCAAAAACCTTAGGACAATTATTTGTTTTTGCCTCTTGGGGCCCTCCTGGGAGTGCTCTTGAAGGCTTCTGGGGGCGTCTTCGAGGCCTCTTGGGCCGTCTGGAGGCCATCTTGGGCGTCTTGGAGCGATCCATTCGGCTATTCTGTGCCCTCCTGGACCGCCTGGGCGGCCTCCTGGGGCTTTCTTGGCCCGTTTTGGGGCCCTCCTGAGCGAGGGGGCCGTCCTGGAGGCCCACGCGAAACACCCCGGAAGCGCCTGGTAGCGCGCCCAGGAGCTTCAGGGAGACCAGGAGTCCAGGCCCTTAGGAGCAGCACAAGCCCTTTACCTTTCAGGGCTGCGTGAGCCCTGGACTCCTTGGACACTCCACTTCGTGCCAGAGGCACTGTGGCGGGTGTATGTATGTATGTATGTATGTCTGTATGTCTGTCAGTCAGTCAGTCAGTCAGTCAGTCAGTCTGTCTGTCTGTCTGTCTGTATGCATGCATGTATGTATGTATGTATATATTTACTTGTGCATATACTTATGCACGTATTTATAATATCTCAACTGTATGTATACACGTGCGTACGTACATATCTACATACCTACTTACCTACCTATCTACCTATCTACCTGCATGCGTACAGACAACCATACAAACATACACACATTCACACATGCATGTACACATACATACATGCATACATCCATGCAGGCCCACATGCATGCATACATACGTACATACGTACGTACATACACACAATCATACATACTCATACACACGTACGCACATCCATACATTCATACATGCATACATACATATGTATGCGTATCTCCATGTTCAGGCATACATGTATGTACACATATATTCACATGTATGTATGTGTACGCCGACCGTGCCCAGTTCTTTCGACATAACATCTCCCGAACATCCTCACGCGCCAGGCGAAGGCGCATCTTGGGGCGTCGGAGACTGCCCATCCTGATGGTCAGTTTAGGAGGGCTTGGTAATCTCCTGGTTGATGCTTGCGCGAAGACGGCGCCACGGTCCTGCCTTCACCATATTCGTTGGAGATTGGATATTTTGACCGCTCAATGGCTGTTTCACGTGTCGTGTCGTTGGCGCCGATGCTGCTGCTCCTGCGGCCTGCGCCCCGCGCCGAATTTTGGAGTTGAGCGCGTCAAGCTACACTTGCAGGATGCGCCAGCTCTCGCCGCGCACCGCTGGATTTCTGTCTCGATCTTGTGGCGCTTTGAGAGTTGTTTGGAGGTGTCGCGTTCCTTTGAAACACCTGCTGGCGGGAGCTGCAAGGGGCTCCACAAGCTAGAGCGGGTCCTCGCCAGGCTCCCGGCATGGTTGTGCTTCTCTTGACTGCTTTGACGGGGCCGCTATGGTTGTGTGCTTGTGTGCTGGGCTTCTTCGGGGCTCGGCCAACAGAGCAATGTCGGGCAGTGATGCAGATGTACCCGCAAGTGCGGGAGCTGTTTGCGCCCAGGCGGCGATTGTGCAGGGAGCCGCCCGACTGTTTCCTGGAGTGCGCGTCCAGCGGGGTCCCTGGCCAACCTGGTCGGGACAGGGCGGCTGGCCCTCTGGGTCGCCCCTGTTTGCACCACCTGTGTGAGGAGAGTGGCCTCTGTCGATGAACATAGTCTTAAGTCGGGCCTGTCCTCCACAGGGGGAATACTCAAACATATTCAAACCATAGTCTGGCACTTCGAGTTTTTGGGGGTATTTTTCATGTTTCGCCCAAATTCCCCCTGTAGGGGGACACGCCCGACTTGAACATAGTCACCGCCCTTTTCCCTCCCCTCCCTCCCGCGTCCCTGACGGCGGCGGCGGCGGCGGCGGCGGCGGCGGCGGCGGCAGGGCACCAGCTGGCGGAAACTGTGGTCCAAAGAACCAAAAAGGGGAGGGCAAGAAAGACGAGGAGTAGGATGAGGAAGAGGAGGAGGAGGAGGAGGAGGAGGAGGAGGAGGAGGAGGAGGAGGAGGAGGAGGAACAGCGCAGCAGGAGGACGGGGAGGCTTCTGATCCTCCTCATCCTGCTGATTCCCCTCCGCTGTTCCTTCTGCTGCGCCTCTGAGGCCTAGCAGGCGATTGCTCTTCCCGCCCGCGCGCCCCTGTGCCCCAGGAGGGGTGGCCTGCCGTACGTCATCGTCGGCTCGGGCTCCGCGTACCGAGGCCCGCTTGTCCTCTGCTCCTCTCCTTCCTGGTTGATCCTGGGCCTCGTTCCTGCTCCGCTGCCCCTTCTGCTGGTGCTGCTCCTGCTGATGCTCCTCCTGGACTCCTCCTCCTCCTCCTCCTCCTCCACCTCCTCCTCCTCCCTCCTCCTCCCAGGATGAAAGAGGAGAGGGAAGAGGAGGAGAGTGGAGAGAGGGAGGAAGGGGAGGGAGGAGAGGGAGGAGGAGGAGGAGGATGAAGGAGGTAGGAGGAGGAGGAGGAGGAGGAGGAGGAGGAGGAGGAGGAGGAGGGAGGCGGAGGAGGAGGCGGAGGAGGAGGAGGAAGAGGAGGAGGAGGAGGAGAGGAGGAGGAGGAGGAGGAGGAGGAGGAGGAGGAGGAGGAGGAGGAGGAGGAGGAGGAGGAGGAGGAGGAGGAGGAGGAGGAGGAGGACAAGGAGGCGGAGGAGGATGATGAGAAGGAGGAGGAGGAGGAGGAGGAGGAGGAAGAGGAGGACCGGTGTCAATACAAGACCCATCAAAGATGTTCGAAACAGCCCTCCCTCCAAGGTCTTCACAGGCCCCTGCAAGGATTCAGTTCCACTGAAGCAAATGCTCTGTCGGGAGACAACCGTGTGAAGATCTTGAAGCGCCACCGTTGCGTACTGACGATGCCGTATCGTGGCAGAGCGCTATTCCTGGGGCTTCGGCACCGCGAATCAACGTAACTGTTGCGCCCTAACGATCCTGAATTGCTCTAAATCCATTTCTGGTGCGTTCATGATGGAATTACGTGGCACTCTTGCAAATGTTTAGGATGAGTATGCGCGGCGCCCAGGCGACAGCTACATTTCGAAAATGAGCCTCCCTCCATCTGTGAAGCTTTTGCAGTTTTGTAAAACGAATGTGCGCGGCGCTAAAGCGAGAGCCACCTTTTGATGAAAGGAACCGCCCCCCATCTGTGAAGCTGCTGCATTTGTGTTGGCGAATGTGTGCGGCGCAAAAGCGAGAGCCACACTTTGAGAACGACCCGCCCTCAATCCGATAAACCCTTGCAACTTTTTAAATCGATTGTGCGCGGCGCTAAGGCGAGGGCCACATGTTGGAAGTGGCCCGCCTTCCATGTTTGCAGCTGTTGTCCTTTAGAGCTTCAGGACCATAGTTGGTAAGGACGTCTGAGGTGAAACGCCCGGCCCGCCCTTTCGACTGGCTTCGGGGTGCGAAAGGGAGGAGTTAGTTATAAAGAAAAGGAGTGGTGGAGGAGGAGGAGGAGAAGGAGGAGGAGGAGGAAGAAGGATGATGAGGATGAGGAGGAAGAAGAGGAAGAGGAGGGAGGTCGAGTGGGCGGAGCGGGCGGGAAGGAGAAAGAAGGAGGGAGGGGGAAGAGGGGGAGAGGGCAAGCTGGGTTCGCTCGCGTCAGATCTGACGTCCTACCCCTCCCTCCCATCCCTTCCCATTGCGTTCTTTTCTCAGTCCGCGGACGCGTGCCATAGCGGACCTGGAACTTCCAGAAAGTCCCCATCCGGTTATAAAGAATATGAGATTGCGTGCATAGGAGGAGGGGAAGCAGGAGGAGGAGGATGAGGCTGAGGATGATGATGATGAGGAGGAGGAGGAGGTGGGGGAGGAGGTGGCGGATGATCATGAGGATGAGCAGGAGGTAAATGATGAGGATGAGGAAGGAGGAAGATAATAAGGAGGAGGAGCAGGAGGAGACGGAGGAACAATAACAATACTGATACGAAGAACAACAAGAGCAAGGCGAGCAATAATAGTAAAACGAATCGTATTTGTGAGACCATTAAGAATAACAGTTATATTTAGAATAATCCGCATAATCAGTCGACTGCTACATGATACTGTTACTAAGAAAGGGCTAATACGCGTACGAAGAAGAAAAAAGAAGAAACGGGTCCTATGCATAACGCAGGCGACTGTTAATGCTTAAATTACTTACTCAATTTAACTACTACTACTACTACTACTTACTACTCCTACTACTACTACTACTACGACCACACCACCACCACCACCACCACCACCACCACACCAACACCACCACCACACCACACCACCACCACCCACCACCCACCATACTCCTACTTACTTATACGACTACTAACTACTGACTCCTTACTACTACTAGACTACGACTCCTACTCCGACTACGACTTACGACTACGACTACGACCTCCGATACGACTTACGGACTTACGATCTAACGGACTCGACTACTAGGACTTATACTATACTATACTACTACTGCTGCTGCTGCTACTGCTACTACTATTACTTCTTACTACTATACTACTACATACTACTACAACTACTAATACTCACTACTACTTACTACAACTTGCTACTATACCTGTATTTCTAGTCATCAAAAACTTTTATACTACTTTATACTTACTACTACTACTACTACCTTACTACTACTACTACTTACTACTACTACTACTACTACTACTACTACTACTGCTGCTGCTGCTGCTGCTGCTACTACTACTACTACTACCAACAATACAATGAATACTTTCTCTAACCGTATTATGAAGAAAGTCAGAAGAGTAACATTAATAATAGTATTCAGAAAAAGAAGAGGAAGAGAAGAGGAGGAGGAGGAGGAGGAGGAGGAGGCGGTGAAGGAAGATGAGGACGAACAGCAGCAGCAGCAGCAGCAGCAGCAGGAGGAGCTGGAGCGGAAGGAGCGGGATGAGCAGGAGGACCAGGGAAACACGGAGGAGGGGAAGTGAGGGGGGCGGCAACGATGAAGCAAAAAGACTCGGATTCTGAAATGTGACCCGCGCTGGTGCGCGAGAGCGCCGTTCTGAACGACGGGAGCAGAACGCCGATCCAAAAATGAGGCTCATGCTGCAGCGGGAACACTGTTGTGAAACTCCGAGACCAGTCGGAATGTAAAGCAATCTGTAAGAACTATACATGTTGCCCTGTGTGTAAAACACATGACGCGGATAGGGCCGGATACCTCCCGCACGTCGTCAGGGGAGAGAGGAGAGTAGTACTCATATCGTGCAATTGTCCAGGAGGGAGGGAGGGAAGAGGGGGATTCGTAAAAGCATGGAAGGGGTTTGGAGAGAATGGGGAGGAGGGGGTGTTGGGGAACGAGGACGCGGAGGGCCGGGAGGGAGGAGGGCCGGGCAAGATGAAGGCTTAGGCTCTGGGAACAGGTGGCCGATGCCACCAGACTTGCTTGCTCGGTCTCCCGCCCCTCCCGCCCCTCCCGCCCCTCCCGCACCTCCCGCCCCTTCCTCCTGCTCTTTCTAGTTCTTTCGGCCGTCTTTCGGTGTCCCCGTACCCCCTATACCCCCCCTCTCTCTCTATCCATCCCCTCCCCCCTGTCTCTCGCCCTCCCTTCCCCCCTTCCTCCTATCCCCTCGCACGCGCCCTCCCGCCCGTCCTCTCCTCCCCTCCCCCTTTCCTCCCCTCTTCTCCCCTCCCCTCCCCTCTTCTTCTCTCTCCTCTCCTCTCGTCTCCTCTCCTGTCCTCTCCTCTCTTGTCCTCTCCTCTTCTCTCTCCTCTCCTCTCCTCTCCTCTCCTCTCCTCTCCTCTTCTCTATTCTCTCCCCTCCTCTCCGCTCTTCTCTCCTCTCCTATTCTCTTCTCTTTCCTCTTCCTTTATGCGCCACTTACACATTTGACAACCATGGCCCTCCTCCTCTCCCCTGACACCATTCTGCTGATCACCCGCCCTCCCCGCACATTTCCACATTTTGTCCCAAAGGTTTTTGTCCCAATTGTGACACCTTTGATCCTTCACAGTGGAGTTCCCGCTACAGCGTTGGTCACGTTTCAGGATCATCGCCTTGCTTCCGCAGTTCGGAATTGGCGCTCTCGCCTCCTCCTCCTCCTCCTCCTTCTCCTCCTCCTCCTCCTCCCTCCTCCTCCTCCTCCTCCTCCTCCGCTTCCGCGGTTCGGAATGGGCGCTCTCGCCCCCCCAGCGCGTGCCACACTTCTGTTCCCGAGTCCCTCCCCGTCGCTGCTGCCCCCCCCCTCCCTTGAGCCTTCTTCGCCCTGGGCCTGCTCGTGCTGCTGTTCTCCCCCCATTCTCCAATGCACGCAGAGGCTCCTCCTCCTCCTCCTCCTCTTTCTCCTCCTCCTCCTCCTCCTCCTCCCACCTCCTCTTCTCATCTCCTCTCCTCCTCTCCTCCTCCTGCCCTCCTCCTCCTCCTCCCCTCCCCTTCCCGCTGATTGCGCAGCCAGCGATGGGTCAGGTCCCGCGACTGCCATTTGAGGATGAGGGTTTTCCAGGGCGCCTCACTCGGCGGATAGTACCGGCTTCAGTGCAATGGGAACGGATGCGTGGGCGGGGTAGGATGTCAAGTGCTGCTTCTCCCCTCGTTGCTCTCCTCCTCTGCTCTCCTCTCCTCTTCTGTCTCCTGTCCTCTCCTCTCCTCTCCTCCCCCCATCCCTTTCTCTCCCCCTCTTCCAACTCCTGTACTCCGCGGAGGGTCGGTTGGGGAGTTATCATGATGATGCTGCGGCTGCTGCTGCTGATGAGGATGAGGATGAGGATGATGATGATGATGATGATGATGATGATGATGATGATGATGATGATGATGATGATGATGATGATGATGGTGGTGGTGATGATGATGATGATGATGATGAGGATGATGATGATGATGAGGGTGCTGAGCAGGAGCAGGCGGAGGATAATGAGGATAAGGAGGATTAATAGGACGATGCTGATGAAGCTGCTGCTGATGATGCTGATGCTGACGATGAGGATGCTGATACGGATTATGCTGATGATGGTGATGCTGCTGATTTTGATGCTGTTGCTGATGATGATGACCATGATGATAGACAAACTGATGTTGATGACGCTGATGATGCGGATGCTGACGATGATGATGCTGCAAATGATGATAATGCTGCTGATGGTGATCATGATGCTGATGCTGCTGGTGATGATGGCGATGATGCCGCCGCCGCTGATAATGATGAGGATGATGATGATGATAGTGATGATGAGGAGGAGGAGGATGATGAGGATGCT